AAGGGGTGTTGAATTTTATAAAAAGATGTTTCTGCATCTATTGAGAAAATGGTGATTTTTGTCTTCAGTTGTTTATGTGATGAATCTCATTTATTGATTTGCATGTATTGACCCAGCCTTGCATTCCAGGGATGAAGCCTGGTGAATAAGCTTTTTGATGTGCTTCTGGATTCATTTTGCCAGTATTTTGCTGAAGAGTTTTGCATTGTTGTTCAAGTATATTGGCCCGAAGTTTTCATTTTTAATTGTATTTCTGCCAGGCTTTGGTATCAGGATGATGCTGGCCTCATAGAATGAATTAGGAAAGAGTCCCTTTTTTTCAATTGTTTGGAATGGTTGCAGTAGAAATGTTACCAGCTCTTCCTACATGTAGTAGAATTCAGTGAATCCTTCTGGTCCTGTTTTTGTTGTTGTTGATAGGCTACTTATTTTTGCCTCAATTTCAGAACTTGTTATTGGTCTTTTCAGGGATTTAATTTCTCCCTGGTTCAGCCTTGGGAACATGTATGTGTCCAGGAATTTATTAGTTTCTTTTCAATTTTCTACTTTGTGAGCATTGAGGCATTCCTAATATTATCTGATTGTTATTTTTATTTCTCTGGGTTCAGTGGTAACATCCTCTTTGTCATTTATAATTGTGTTCATTGGGTCTTCTTCTTTTTCTTCTTTCTTGTTATAGTTTGCAGTCTATTTTATTAATTTTTTCAAAAAACAACTCTTTGATCTTGATCTTTTCAATGGCTGTCTGTCTCAATCTGCTTCAGTTCCATTCTGATTCTGGCTACTTCTTGTATTTTGCTACTTTTGGGCTTAGTTCTCTTGGTTATCTAGTTTTTTTTTTTTTTTTTTTGCTGTGATGTTGTGCTGTTAAATTGAGATCTTTTAAACTTTTGATGTGGAATTTATATACATTTCCCTCTTTACACTGCCTTAGCTGTGTCCCAGAGATTCTTGTATGCTGTATCTTTGTTTTCATTAGTTTCAAAGAATGTCTTGATTTTTGCCTTAATTTCATTATTTATGCAAAAGTCATTGCAGAGCAGGTTTTTCAACTTTCATTCAATTGCCTGGTTTGGAACAGGTTTCTTAGTTTTGATTTCTAATTTTACTGTGATGTGGTCTGAGAGTGTACTTAGTATGATTTAGGTTCTTTTATATTTGCTGAGGCGTGATTTATTTTTTATTATGTGGTCAATCTTAGATTGTGTGGTATGTGGTGATAAGAGGCATGTATATTCTGTTGTTTTGTCATTGAGAATTCTGTAGATGTCTAGCAGGCAGTTCCCTAGGGTTAAAGTCCCCTATGGGAGTAAATGAAGCCTGTGCAGGGGGGTAAGCATCCTTGGCTGTGCTCCACTACAGATGCTCTGGCACTCAACCCTTTGGGCTATGTACTGGATGGCATGCAGTCCCTACCACTTCTTTAAGCAGATCTCCCTGCCAATTCAAGTGTCCATAGTGGTTGAGGGGTGTCTTTCTGTTGGGATTCCAGAGGCCCATGAGGAAATCAGGTTGCTCCTTTCCAGTTCAACTTATCTTTCCCCCAGAGTTCTTGGGGGCCAGAAACAAGTCCCTGTCTGCAGGAGCCCCATGCAGGGTTCTCAGCTTCCTTCCCATTCAGTCCAGCTTCTGTATCTTCCCTCCATACACTTTCAGTGTCTTCCCTCTGAAGACCTGTCAGGAGTCAAAATGTCTGTTTTTGGTGTTTATCTGGAAATATATAATTTTTTTAAATAAATGGAGATAATTCTAATTGCATAATAACAAATTTTAATGTCATGAGCTTCTTAAATGGGTACATAAGTATCACTAAAAATGTGTGGTAATTTATTCAGTTTGTGAGCGTTCTTTTGAAAACATGTCTTTAGCAGATGAATAAAATTTGTTTAAGTTAGGGAAATGAGGTGACATGAGGACAATTATGAATGAATTGTTTATGCACTACAATTATTTTTCTCTGAGTTTATATAATTTGAACATGCTTTAAAAATAAAACATAATTTTATGTTTTGGTACTGTGCTGTTAGTTGAAAAAATGTTTCACTATTAAATCAATGTCAATTGTGAAGTATTTTGGTAATGCCAAAATGCTATAAAAGTAGTAATCTTTATTTTAGGAAGATATTCTTCATATAAAAATAAATTTCTTTGGTAATAGTGTTCACTTATAAAATCAATTAGAGATAATTTAATTAAAACAAACATTAACAACTTCTTTCACAAACTTTAAGAGGGAGCAAATGAGGGCCTCTGGGCTGTTAGTACCATTGCATATGGAAATAAATACCAACTGGGCTTCCAGCACTCATTCTTACGTATTCTAGGCATCCTCATTTATTTTTTTTCTTATTATCTGAAAGACTCAGACCTCAATTCACAGATTAAATAAAAATTAATTGACAAGAACTCTCAGTTTACACCCTGAAATTGATATATTTCTTATTCTTACACCCCATCTTTACTCCTCCCCTGATTTTCAATTGACATAGTGTCATCTTTTCTCTAATTTAAGAAAAATTATTTTACCTTATAAGGAATGTTACTCTATTGATTCCCTTAGTTCTTTAGTACTTTCAAGAATTTCTTCTTCTCTAAAGTATTTCCATCACAGATAAAATATATAAACATGCCAATCTAAAAATGAATACAATAGATGAATGGATAACAAATGGCATATTCATACAATGAAATCCTATTCAATAATTAAAAAGATGTGAGTTACCAAGTCTCGAAAAGACATAAAGGAAACTTAATTGCACATTTCTAAGTTAGAGAAGCCAAACTGAGAAAATGGTACATATTGTATTATTTCAACAATAGGGCATTACAGAAAAGTTAAAACTATTGAGATAGTGCAAATATTGGTGGTTGCCAAGGAGAAGAAAGGGGTGAATAAGCACAGCACAGAGGATTTTCAGGACTGTGAAAATATTCGCTGTTACTGTAATGGTGGATACTTAACATCATGAAGTTGCATGAATCCACATGAAGAGTAAACCCTAATGTAAACTATGTATTTTAATTAAAATAATGTATCAGTATTGACTCATCAATTATAATTAATGTATCTTGGTAATGCAAGTTATTAATAGTAGCAAAAACTCTGGGGGCAGGGAGAGTATATAGGAACACTCTAATTTTGATTGATTTTTTCTTTATATATAAAACTTTTCCAAAAAACTAAATCCATTTATGAAAAAAGCAAAGCAAAACATATTAAAAATATTCCAAACACACAATTTCTATAAAGTAAATATTCACATGCTTATAAACTACATTTCTTCTTATTACTGGTCAAATTTACATTGTTTTCATGTCCTCATTTTCTCCTAAATACGCTAATGCCTTTAGTCTGAGTTCTAATTCCCCACCATCACAGAAACACGATGCTCTAAGGTAATAAATGGCATGTATCTGTCTAAATCAAATGAAATTTTAGTTATTTTACTTGACCTAGAAATAGAATTTGACAATACTGTGCTACTGTTTCATTAAATTAAGTGTGTATTTGTGTGTTTGTGTGTGTGTGTGTGTTTGTGTGTTGCTTAATACTATCTTGCTTTTCCTTCCTTAAATTTCTCAGGTCACTTCTCAGTACTCTTGTTTTCAGGCTCATTATGTTCTTTCTATTTGCAACTTTTTATAGTTTTATGTTGCTTAGTAAAAAACCCTTCTTTGTGTTTATTCTGTAATTTCTTCCTTGAGAAAAATACTGTTTCACTTATTTACGGCTCAGTGTCTCCTAGTCCTCTCATCTGAGTTTCTAATCAATGATATTATTGAAAAACCTACTTGTGGATTTGAAATTGCTTTAGATTAGCAAGTATATGCTTAATTCATGTTGTCTTTCAAAATTTATTCCTCTGTTAGTAAACACTGTCATTTTTAAACAGGTGAAAAAAATAAACAACAATAACAAAGGGTTAGCCTGATAACATCTTTCCACCTCACTCTAGCTGACTTACACCAGAGTCAATACATTGATAATCTTGCTTAATAGTTGGGAGATTAGGTGGAATCCAGGCATACTTTTTTAAGCATACTGATTGCGATTCTTGCTGAATCTTTTGGCTCTGCCCTTAGCTGTATCTCAACTTCTATTTGAGATTACAAAAATATAAACCAATCTCATAAACCTGTACATGCTCCATTACCCAGAGCCAGGGTAGAGAGAAAATATTTCTCTTACAACTATCACAAAAAAGCTGTATTTCTCTCTGGGTTTGAAAATCTGGGTCACTTGAATAAATCTGAATCATAAACATTATACCTTAAAAATGTTTTATTAAACTAATCAAGTTCTATTTTTGCAGTTATGACTGGGTTAATCCTACCCAAGCAACATAGCTGTTACACAATGAAATAGGTTTGAAGGGCTTTTGAAAAGGCAACAGCAATGTCTACAATGTATCACTTGCCAATGACATACACCCTTTTTCTCATACAGGCAGTTTCAAAAGTATCCATGAATAGATTTGTTATAATCCCAACATTTTCAAAGGAAGAAAAAAAAATGAATGTTTTTTCCAGATGCTGTATTAACCTCTGTTTCCAGGATCTCTGTAGTATCAATTTCATCTTAATTGAATTCTGTCATCTCTCTTCATATTCCAGGTACATATGACTAATTGCTAAGATATCTACCTTGAAAGACACAATCTATAATGAAAAAGAAAGAACAGGATACAGGCAATGACCCACCTCAGTTAATATGTTGCCATTTAATGGGATGTTAAAATATTCAGTGTGATCAGGTGAATTGGAAGGTGGGAAGCTTAAAAGTTTGGCAAAATAATGAAAGTAGAAAGATAAAGATAAAGTAATAAAAGTTCTAAATAAACTAAAATGTGATGGCCAAAAATATTTTAAGTAGGACACAATTATATCACTTTTGATCATCTATTTTGAATTATGTTATGCTAAATTAAGGAAGATGGAGTAATGAAAGCTAGTTACTGGGGAAAACAATTTGAAGATTTCTCGAAGAACTAAAAAAGAACTATCATTCAACCTAAGAATCCTGTTAATGTGAATGTACTCATAAATTGCTCTGTGAAAATGACCTGTACTCGTACGTTAATTGTGACGCTATACACGATACAAAGACCTGCAATGAACCTAGGTGACCATCACTTATGGACTGGATAAAGAAAATTTGGTATATATGCACCATGGAATAATATGCAGCTGGAAAAAATAATGGAATCATGTCCGTTGCAGCAACATGGATTAAGCTGGAGGCCATTATCTTAGGCAAATTAAAACAGAAACAGAAAACCTAATACCACATGTTCTCCATTATAAGTGGGAGCTAAACATCGGGTACACATAGATACACAGGTGGGAGCAATAGACTCCGGGGACCACAAGAGGGAGGAGAAAGCCTAGGGGGCAAGGGTTGAAAAAAACCATTGGGTATCTATTGGGTACTATACTCGTTGCCTATGTGATGGCTTCAGTGGTACCCCAAATCTCAGCATCATGGAATATACCCTTGTAACAAACCTGCACATGCACCCTTTGATTCGAAAATAGAAACTGAATAAAATAGCAAAGTAAAGTAAAAGTTTTAAAATTAAAAAAAAAAATGAAGATTAGTCATAGTAGAAGTCAGTATTAAGCATTGAGATTTGTTCAAAAAGTTATGACAAAAGTTAGTAACCATAATTTTTGGTTGGGACAGTGAAAGGTGACAAAATCAAGCACAGACTAGATGTTCTTAAATGTTAATGGGACTTTTTGCATGCATGTCATCATTTGTATTTGAAATCCATAATTCATTCTTAGTTGTGAATTTGTGTTCCTACAAAATTCAGCAAGGAGAGTATATTCTTTCCAATTAGCTAGATGAATTTGTGTAAAACAGGTGTTTTCTCTTTAAATGTTTGAAGGAATCTGCAAGTGAAGCTCCTGTGTGACTGGGTGTTTTTTGTCTGAGAAGATATGAAATTGATGGATTCAATCTTATTAATAGCAATACATTTGAATTGTATTGTTATTCAAATTCCATATTTCTTTTGGTTGCAATTATATCTTTTTAAGAAAATTATTTTTATATCTAAATTAAAATATTGTAATGTAAATCTAGGAGCTTAAACTGTGTATTATCATTTTCGATTCATTGTGTATAACACTTGGGCTTCCTAGGATAAAAATATCAATACTAAAACTGTATTGGTGGCATTTGAAGTCCATGTGGCCATGCCATTATTTTCAAACGTCTCAGTTAGTTATTTTTGTTAATAGCTTTTGCTATAGTTTCTAGAATAGTTTATGTTCCTGGAGCATCTATTTCAAGGCAGTGTGAAATTAGAAGTAAAGAATAAAATTAATCTTTGATCACCTTTATCTTGTATGCTGCTATTAAATAAAACAATATTGGAATTAATGGTGATAACCAAATTGGAAGCATGTCACATGGCTCAGTGAATCTTTAACATGTTTAAGAGGGCTTCTATTTCTGCAAATTAATTACCTTCACTGTTCCTTTCCCAAGGATCATTTCTGATAGACTAATATTTTCTAAGAATGTAGTTGGATCTATGGTTATCTAAGCATTTAGGGGTTTAGCATTTTATTTGATAAATACAGCAGTAAAATGCAACGGCCGCAGAGCAGCAGTTGTGGGCTTTTTGTTCACACTGTGCCTTTCTCTGCACTCCACATACATCATCCAGAAAAAAGGCATTTTACAGGAAAAGGGTATTTTATAAATAGTTGTTGAATAGAAAGAAAAATAAAATAATAATATAAAAAGAAACTGAAGAAAAAAGAATTTCCATGTTTATGTGTGGTGTGATTTGACATTTGGAAAGTCAAATGGGTCTACTGAAAAGCAGGTGATAACTGATGTTTAGAGCTCATGGAATGAGTCATGGTCTTTTTTCTGCATTGACTAGTATATACAGATAAGACATGGTCTTTTTTTCTACATTAACCAGTTTATATGAATACATATAGAAGGAGTACCTTCTTAATAAATTTTGAAAGTAAATCCCAGATCACTAATATTCCATTAAGAAGGTTAAATTTAATTGCATGTAGTATTATAGATCTTATCTATTTCCCCAACTGACAATGAAAATGTAATTATTTTTGAAACACGATAATATGCTGTAAATGTTTGACCTTTCCACAGTTTAAGCAATAAAGCTCACTCCAGGGTGTTTTGTTGGAGCATAATATTAATATACCTAAGCTACACTGACTTTTGATTAAATATGTCAGCATATTACCAATAGAACATCCCCTGAGGTGCTGTAAAGGATCATTAAGTATCACATGTAGAAGTAACGTTGCTTAATACTGGAGAAAATTAATTTTTCTACAATCATGTTTGCCTATTTCTATGAAAATTTGTGAACATATACTTTTATTTAAATGCTCATTTTAGTATATCTTATGAAATTTCCCCAGCAAAATACAATCATATTTTCACATTTTTGAAAAGTTGGATGTTTCTGTTCCAGTAGATTTTTGCAGATAGGTAACTATTACACATGAGGGAAAAAACAAATTTTATATTAAAAATTAAAAGGTTTAAAAGTTATTAATTGATAAATTCAACTCTATTTATTCTTATACTGTGAACATGCTAGGAAACCAGACATCACCTAGTGGGCTAATTCCAAAATTGTTTAAACATCAGCCATCATCGCAATTTAATGTCTAATGAATTCTTGCCATTTTCTGCATTCATATTTTGCACTATACAGAAATGTTATATTTTCTTTATTAGTTGTAAATTACATATGATTCTTAATGAAATATATATATTTTATTGATTAACCAAAGCAACACTCATGTGCTTTGTGACTTAATAATGTACCTACATTTTAGTACAAGAGCTAATATTCATGAATTCATGTATGTAATAACTTTACATTAATGAATCCATAAAGTACAGTGATTAGTTACATAATGTGAGGGCCTGTAACAGATAAGGCCACAAATAACAGTGGCGTAGTTAACAAAACAGAATTTAATTTTTTATTCACTTGATGTGTAAGTGAGGGATTTCTAATTAGGATTCATTCCCACTGGATCATTCAGGGATCCAGGAGGAGTCCTTCCCACTTCAACATGATATTGCTGTGGGCTTCAATATTCAATCAGCAGATGGGGAAGAGCAAGAGAATCACACAAGTCAAATTACAATGAGCCATGAGCCAAGATCTGTTCCCATTTTGCTTGTTTTGAGTCTGTCACAAGACAAAGCCTCAGAAACAGAGAACATTTTTACCATAGAATAGGGAGATGTGTCTGCCATTTGTGCTATCAGCCTCTGCCATTTGCTCTTCTGTTAACCAAATACCAATTTATTATCACTTATTTTTCCACATGTAGAATATGATCATTCCTTCCCTGATGAAGAGCCAAGGTGTTTCCAACAAGTTCCCATATCCAATTTAAGAGCTCAGTTATGAATCTTTTACAGTAAATGGAGGTGTGGCTGTAAACATATGAAGCAGGAAGATTAGGGATTTGTTCTCAATATATGCTATATACAATGGTGGAGATAATTGCAATTAACTTCCCCATTATGAAAATAAAGTATGGAGACACACAAGAACAATGTAGGAATCACACATCCCCCCCACCACACACATATTCTTCACCAATTCTTACCATGGGAGTCATCAGATCCAATTCTTCCTTTATATCTCATTGAAAAGATAGAAGTTCTTTTGCACACAATCTTGCTGAAAGGGCTTCTGGAAGTGAATGACATTAACATTTCATCTATACCCACTGGCAAGTCCAAATTTCCTGTTTTTCTCTTTTCTTCCTTTCCTTTAATATGTAATAATAATTCATTCCTTTTTAGTGCCCACATTTTTCCTTTTATTATTGTTTTCAACTGACATAATAATATTGAATATTAATGGGATACAGTGTGACATTTCCATACATGTACACATTGTATAATAAGGGTAATTAGCATAGCCATCACCTCAAGTATCTAACATTTCTTTGTGCTGGAAACATTTAAAATATGTTTTTCCAGATATTTGAAAATATACTTAAACTGATGTTAATTATAGTCACCCTTTAGTGCTATAGAACACTAGAACTGATTCCTCCTGTTTAACTAACTGTATTTTTGTATCTGGTAACTGACTTTAAGTTCAAATTTATCTTGGATTGCAAAAACAGCTCTTGTTATATATGCACATCTTTAAACATGTGATAAATTTGTATTTTTGCATTTATATTTTAAAACTTATGCACATATGTTGTCTAGAAAAATATATATGTGTGTGCACATGCACGCATGTGTGTGGCTACACTCATGATTTTTCTATAACAATTTAGGGTAGAAAAATATTTTGAATAAAATAATGTCATGTTTATTTTTTTGTCATACGTTTATTATATATTTTCTCTTAAAATCATTGTCTTCATTTAAAGACTGTAGTATTTTCTGTATTCATGCTTGTGAATTAGCAGATTCTCAGAAATATTTAAAATGAGCATATAAGGCCTTACCACTTAAGATCTGAAGTCAGTAGGTCTGAGATGGAGCCTGCTCCTTGCTATACCATATTTTTTTAAAGAAACTTTTTAGTGTATTTTCATATTTCTAGTGGAAAACCAGTGCTTCCTTTAAGTGTCTAGTAGGCAGAGTATTTCTTCCACCTCAAATGTCAATGCCCTAATTCCTGGAACCTGTGAATATATTTTCTTTCATGTCAAAGGGGACTTAGTAAATGTAATTCAGGTTGAGGTCTTCCAGAAGTGTAGATTACCTGGGATTATCCAGCGAGTTCAATCTAATCACATGAATCCTTAAGACCAGAAAACCGTTTTCTTCAGTGGTCAGCGGGAAGTGTCATTATGAAAGAAAATCAATGAGATTTATTACTATTATTATTAAATTATTTTTTTAGACAGGTTCTCAAAATAATATTAAATTTTTTTGAGACTCTGTGTATCAGGCTGGAGGGCAGTGGCATAACTATGGCTCACTGTAGTCTCAATTTCCAAGGCTCAATTGATTCTCCTACCTCAGCC